TGAGCTGTTGTTCAGCATCTTAGCTGTAGAGGGCAGTGTCACTGGCCCTCATATGTGGGATCCGAACCGGGACTGTCTGGCGTCCCAAGCCAGCTCTTAACCATTGCGCCACTCGGCCGGCCCCAATTATTACTTTCTTGACAATTTCTTTCATTGACATATAGAAAGCTGGTCAGCCTAGTTTCTAAGAAAAAATTTCTAACAAGAAATTTGTAGACACAACATAGTCTCCTTCCTTACTGAGCTGTGTAGACAGTGATCTGGGAAAGGGGCATGCAGATCTTAGTGACATTTGCCAGGAGCCGATAATCACAGCCTGCTAATTCCATGTTGCCCACAAGAAGGAAAAATTGTCCTTTCTTGTCTTCAGGGTATTCACAGGCCATGGAGCGTATGTAGGGTCCCGAAAGACTCCCCAAACTGTTTAGAAACAGTAGTGTTTCTCATATTTGTGTAATGTACTCTGGTAGCCAGCTTCTAAGATGACCCCCCCTTTGCCTCTGGTATTCACACCTTTGTGTGGCCCTTTCCGCAGTGAATCAAGACTATTCTGTGACCAATAGAACACTATGAAGTGACAGTGTGTCTCTCAAAGATTCATCATAAAAGGCGCTGCAGTGTCTGCACTGGTCTCTTGGATTTATAGCTCTTGGGGAAGCAAGTCACCATGGTGTGGGAACACTAAAGCAGCTCACTAGAGAGACCCATTTAATGAGGCCAAAGGCAGCACCAGCTTGTCAGCCAGGTAAGCGAGCCACCCAGGAAGCCACTGCCAGTCAAGCCTTCAGATACCACAGCCCCAGCTGACATCTTCCTGCAACTTCTTGGGAGACCCTAAACTGGAACTTAGCTCCCAAATTCCTGACCCACAGAAATTGTGAGACATAGGAAATTATTGCTGTTTTAAGAGTTTCGGAGTGATTTGTTCGTAGCAATAGATAACTAACAAACACCCAAATCCCTTATAGGAAAAAAATTATTTCTGACCACATATTTTTATTTTACTTAAGTACAAACATACAATACAAACTCCTTAGTCTATTAAACCAAAATAGATTTACAATTAAATATAGTGCAGACAATATTACAAAACAATCCAATAAAAAGTAATTTCAATAGAGGGCTGTTTTGCTGAAATTGCCCCTCAATGAGACTATAGTACTAACCGTGCCTGATTCCTCTCCTCCCGTACTGTTCAGTTACTTGAATAAATTACCTTTTTTTCCTTAAGCCTGTTTGAAGTGGATTTTCTGAGGCTTTTAACCAAGACTTTTGTGACAATTTGTGAAACTTCAAACAAACAAACAACCCTAAGAAGGAACCTTTCCTGAGGATCTGGCCTCTTAACCCCACCCCTGTCTCCACGAGGGCACTCGTGCGTTTGGCCAGCCGGCCGGGAGAGGCCGCAGCTGCATGCACTTGGGTAGCATTCCTCCTGGAAAGAGAGCACGAAACCCTGACCCGGCCAGATGTTCTCAGCTCTCTGGGTTCAAGTGCTGCAGGAGGTGCGCACACACCTGTTCCACTCCCTACTCTGCAGCGCCAGCGTGAACTCGGGCACGTGGACCTCTGCCCGCAGCTCGGTCCCCCCGCGTTGGTGCGGTCACTCCTCCCGAGTTCCTGGAGCACAGAGCCGGGCAGGGCAGCTACCCGCTACACCAGAACTAACAGATGGTTCACTGCTGGGACGCCGCATCAGGCTGCCTCGACAGCCCTTTCGGTCGAGGGCACGTCAACATGATACCCCCTCGCACAGAAGGCAGCATTCTGTGTGACTGAAAACGGGAGTCACTCATAGTTCCTTAGACCTTCGCCTCAGCTGGGCTAAGCATCCGAAGCTGTCGCGCGGCCTGCGAACGCCAGGTTTGCTAGCACTCCCTCCGCTCTTCCATCCGAGGTGCAGACGGCGTAAGGATGGGATGCGCATGCTCCGTGTCGGGCTTCGCGTTTCGCCTCCGCGCCCGCCGAGGGACGCAAGCAAATACTTGGCATGCTGGGAAATGTAGTTTACGAGCCTGAGAGTCACTTGTGCGCCTCTGCCTGGGCCCGATGCGGGACTTCAGCTCCCGGCAGGCTGGCGGGAGCGGGGAGGGGATGCGAGAGAAGAGGAGGGGCGAGTGAGAGAAAAGGAGGGCGGGGCCAGGGGAAGGCCCGGCCGAGGGGCGGGGCTCCGGCCGCCCAGCCGCCGCCGCCCGCGGTCTGAGAAGCAGGAGGCGCGGGGCCGGGAACCACGAGGAACCTGGACGGTAGCGGGTGCACCCGAAGTGGTCCCAAGAGTATCGGCTGCCGCTCGTCGGCCGCCCCACTTGCAGACCCCCTCCCCTCCGCCGGGACGCGGGAGAGCCCGGCGCGCGGTGGGGGCGCGAGGTGGGGCCGGCGGGGGCGGCCAATGCGAAACTGGCTGGTGCTGCTGTGCCCGTGCGTGCTCGGGGCCGCGCTGCACCTCTGGCTGCGGCTGCGCTCCCCGCCACCCGCGCGCGCCTCCGCCGCTGGCCCCGCAGGTGAGCTCCGGACCGGGCTGGGCGCGGGGGGCGGTCGCGAGGGCGGGAGTCCGGGGGGGCCGGGCTAAACACGGCGTCGCTGGGCCACACAGATGGCCCTTTTTATCCGCGGGCGTTAAAGTCGGGCGAACTTGAGGGCGTTCTCTGTGCGCGTCCCAGGGCTGTTCACCTCCCCGCTTTCCTTTGTGGTCCCAGCGGGTGCCGGCAACCGGGAGTCCTGCGGCGGCCCCCAGGCGGGGCCGGAGGGGCCCGCCCGGGAGCAGGACCTCGCGTGTCCTTCAGCCGCCAGCGGCTCGGGCCACCAGGTCGCTTTCTTCCTCTCAACTTGTTGGTCTCATTCGGTCAAGACTCTGAGCTCTTAGTGCCTTGGGTAATGCCTGTGCGTGTGTTAAAAGGTGGCGGGGCTTTGCTTTTAAGGAATAATGTTGCTTCAAGAATATACTATTTTGTATTCTTTGAAAACTCTGCGATGTAAGTCCGTTAAACAGACGTAGGTACGAAATAGAGCCTGGCGACGCGTGGAGTTGCACCTGTGAATTTGGCTTGTGAAGCACTAATGAAGTGCACATGAAAATATCAACTTCTCGACGATCGTATCCGTTTGCTGTAAAACATTCTCTTGTGGGAATGAAATCTTTTTCACTCCACAGCCTGATGGAACGCTTTGCCCATAGTAGGTGCCCAGTGGATTTTTGTTTCTTGGTTCCACCGCCGTAAGCACTACTTAAGGTTTCTCTATTTTTGTCTCCTTTTTTAAGGGATTGCCCTAGGTCATATAAAGAAACCTAGAAGTCTTTTAAAGATGAGGTAATCCTCCCTATTTTTTTTTTAACTACATGGGAATTTTTTTTTTCTTTTCACTTCTCCCCCAAACAGCTGTTCTCTTATCCAAAAGTTTTTAAAATTAGAATTGAATATTTGCAATTCTGAGATGGGTCTGTGCCTTAACTTATAAGTAGAAAGTATAGAAACAAATTCAGCAATCCTCAAAGCAGTCTCATTGTTATAATCGGGGTTCTTTATTCTGGTAACTATCTCTTGAAATCTTTTTCTGTTAGACAAACCACAATCTCTTGGAAAAGGCTATTTGTGTCACTTGAATAGAATACTCTTTAAATTATTTCATGAAAGCACAGTGTTTACAGAGTGTTTAACCTGTTAACAGGTTAGGATTTTTTGGGGTTTTGTAAACTGGTCTGAGGGAAAACTGCCATATGTATAAAATGCTTTGTAACATTTGCTGGGTTTGTGTTTTACAAGTTTCCTTTTCTTTTTGGTAGTATGAGTGAGTTCAACTGGAATATACTTGTAGAGTATCCTTGGGGTATTTATGACCTTAACAGTCTTTTGGGTTCTATAAACAAGCAAAAACCCTGTCTTCAAGCTTAAAACTTAGTGGAACTGCCGACAATTTCTCAGTCTGAGATAAGTTTGTCCCATTCCCTTAGTGTTTGGGTGATGCTTTCTCCTGCCAGCCAGTTAGACCAGGTAGATGACGGGGAACTAGGAGGTAGGCCCAGAAAAGGGACGTGGCTAAAGGGGAGGAATCAGTACTAGTTATATAAATTGACTTTAGATGGATATTGTGCATCTGGTTAGATAATATAGAGTATTTTAACCTAAATGACACCATACAGAGGCCTAACTTTCCTTTTTCACTTTTGGTACTTTCAAAACTAAAAACAATAGTAGCATCTTGATTGCTAAAATTTCCTGCAGTTCCCATCCTCATTGTGTTGTCACCAATTGTTTAAACTAAAACATTTGGGCATTTTTACATTTCAACCCTTATACCATTATATTGGGTTGTCAGAAAAGTCATGACATTTTTTCTATGTTTTTCATTGCAAAAATGTGTTATGATTTTTCCGACAACCCCAATACCTTAAGCCTAAAGTGAGAGAAAACCCACGATTTTGTTAAGTGTTCTTCCCTTGACTTAACGTTGTAAGATTTGTTTTTGTTCTCTTTTTCTCTCCTGCCTTTTGTGTCCAATCTCATTAAGTCACAGCAGTATTTTTTGAAAGGGAGATTTACCTTCCCTGAATATTAAAAAAAGGTCCTTTGACTTGCCATTGATTCAGCAAATATTTGAGAGCCTCGTCTGTCTGCCCTGTTGTAGGTGTGGAATTACAGCAGGATCAAGATCAAGTCCCTGCCTTCATGCAGTTTACAGTTGAGAAGGGAAGACAGAACACAGGAAATAGTTATTGAATATCATAGGGGGGTCGTGATAAGTGGGGCGACAAAAATAAAGCAGGGTAAGAGAGTAGAGAATGATGTGCTGCTATTTTAAATGGAGAGGTCAGGGGAGGCCTGTGAAGAGGTGACACTTGAGCAGGGAACTGAATGAAGTCACTCATGTTCGTACCTGGTACTTGTCTAATGCAGTGGCTCATTTTAAACAGCTGAAACATGGGGAGAGCAACTGGTGACGCGGGAGCAGGTCTCTTGTGGAAACCAGCATGTTTAGGGTTGACAAGGAAATGGAGGCAGAGACAACCATTGGACTAGAGACTACCATTTGGGGTCACGTCTTAGCAGGAATCTTTTAAAAGTTAATTTAGAAATGATGTGATGAAAGAATGCTTCTCTTTCTAGGATCTCGAAAAGAAGCATAGCCAGCGAATGCCTAGAATGCTGGGTGTTGTGCTGGTCCCTGCTCTCAAGGGGCTCAGTCTGTCTAATTGAAATAGACATGGGGCAAGTAGAGGCAAAACACAAACTGAGCTTGCTTTGAAATTTTGCCTGGCGCTGGTTCATCCAAAATTATCCCTAGTTGCTAATCTTGTCTGTGCTTGTTCCCATATTTATAAAATGGTGACCTCATAGGGTTTTTGTGAAGGTAATAAAACACCCAGAACTGTGCCTGATTCATAGTATCTTAGAGAGGATGGCAGTATAGTGGCTGATGCCTGTGTTAGGGAGGTACCATATTTCCCCATGTATAAGATCTCCCATCTATAAGACACACCTTAATTTTGGGGTCCGAAATTTGAAAAAAAAAGTATTACATAAAGTTATTGAACTCAAGTTTTATTCATCGTAAAATTCATACAACTCCTCATCACTGTCAAAACTCCCAACTATTGGCTTGTCCTCATCTGTGTCTGATGACGAATCACTGTCTTCATATATTGCCTCGTCCTCAGTTCCATCTATGGCATTTGAAATGCCACACTTCTTAAATGACTTGACAACGATCTACAACCACTGTTTAAGACGCACTCAGCTTTTAGACCCCAAATTTTTCGGAAAAGGGTGCATCTTATACATGGGGAAATACGGTATCTAAAATTGATGAGAGCATGCTGGGGTGTGTGTGACAATTGTCCTTATCAGGAGATCTGTGATGAACTGTATGATTCCCTCATTTTCAAGATTTCTGCCTATTTTGATGTTATCTGAGAGCATGCACATGAAAGTGGCAATTCTGGTCTGATTTTTAAGATTCCTTGGGCTTATTTTGAACAATCAGTTTTGAAGTCAGTCTCCCTTATCTTCAATAAACTTTTGAATGTGCACTCTCTGTGCAGAGCCTAGCAGGTTGCCAGACTCTCAGGATATATTACATATTAAACAAGAGAAATGGCCGATGTCCTCAGGGAGCTCTTGTGGGGTTTTAATTATTCTTGACACTGTGAATATTTGTTTATTGCTATATATCTGCCAGCTACCACAGTGAACATAGAAGATGCTCAGTAATTTGAAGAAATGAATCAAGAGAATAAAACTGGCAAAGTATGAATGAATCTGTCACTTACAGATCGTGTTTTCCACTATGACCTTATTATTTAAAATTTTTTCTTAGTAAAACACATTCTTTGTAGAAAAATTTGAAATTATTTTTTAAAGAGAAAGAAAATGATCAATACTGGACAGTTTTGAATGTACATACATGTAATATATGTTTGGGGGAAATTATTAAAATTTTTATTGATGTATAATATACATTCAGAAAAGTACATGTAAATATACAGCTTGATATGTTTTCACAAACTGAATATACCCAACTAATCAGCACCCAAATTAAAACCAAGAAAACTAGCAACACCCCAGACGCTCCCTTCATGCTCCCTCTGTCACTTCCAAGAGTGGTGGCCGCTATCCTGATCTTTAATGGCAGATTTGCTTTCTTTTGCACTATATGCAAATAGCACCATACAGTATGTACATTGTTCTTATAGCCTGCTTATCTTAGTGAATATGGTAGAAAAATATTTAATGATATGTTAACAACATAATTTTAATGGCTGCATAGTAGCCTAGCATCTAGATACACCAACCATAGTTTATTTAAGTAATCCATTATTTGTGCGTCTATGTAGTTTGCAGGTTTTTACTACTAATAAGTGACATTGTGATGAATAGAGATTTTTTAGTGTGTCACTGATTGTTTTTTTAGAATAAGTTTGTATACATGGAATTTTTGGACAAAAGTTATACAGTTCTGAGTTATGTGATGTTTATTGGCAAATTGCTCTGCAGAAGACTCTACCAAATTATATTTCTACCAGCAGTGAAGGGAAAGTAGCCGTTTTCTTGAAATAACTATCAATATTTCCTTGAAATACTAGTCATTTGGGTATTGCCATTTAAGAAGATATTTGTTAGTTTGAATGTAGGCAAAAACTGGTATCTTAATTGCTCTGATTCAAACTTGAACTTTTTCATAGGTTTGTAGGCTGTTTGCATTTAATCTATGAATTATCATTGTCTTGTCGCATGTTTACTTCTTAGTTTTTCTTTTCCTATTTTGGGACACCAGCATCAAACTAGGTATCCTATTGTTGCAACATATAGCAGAAGGTGAGGAAAGTGTAGAGCCAAACTCTAGGAATGGGGGTAGGAACTTGGAGGTTCTTACACAGGCATTTATTGAGCATCCGCTTTGAGTTTCATATTGGGTAACACAGTACTCATAGGTCTGTCTGGCTGCTTTAATATTGATGGCATGTGGTAAAAGCAACTACTTTGTAAAATTGAGGTGTAATTGACAG